GTGACCTGGCCTTGTGGATCTAATGGAAAACTGTCAATACACCGCATTATGTCGGATGTTATTACTTAACAATTTTTGAAAATGCTCTTTGTATAATCAGTAATGCATAGAAGAAGCAGCTGCACAGTGCTATGCACAATACTGTTAGCACTTCCTTGCTAATGTAGCTTCAACATTTTTTGGTACCCAGAGTTAAATATTTTAAATACAACTGTTCCTTTGTTTTTCTTCCAAGGAAAACTGATAGCCCAAGGACTGGCTTAACTTTGTGAATCTGTACACGTCTTTGAGAATATAGTTTTAAAGTGTCATTTTTCCATAAAACTCATTCTTAATAGACTTTTCTAGTTTTTCTGCCTTGTTAAAGCTATTTAGATGATAGAACTATGTGTGATGTACCCTCCACTGACAGTCACAGAAGTATGACCACTTACAAATGCTTCTGTATACAAGTGTTCTATTTACCACCACAGGGATTGTCTTTCTGTCTTCATCAACAGCGTGGTGTCAAATTTAATATCTACCTTGAGCTCAAAGCTGTCTCCTTTGTTGCTGACTATCAGGAAACAGTCACTCTTGTGTAACTCACACTCTTTTTCCTGTGCATACAACATTGCATTTGCCTTTCTTAGAATACATTTTTTCCTAAGTAGTGTAACCTACCAAGAAATTCTGATCAGATTTGCTTATTATAACTATACAACCAGTTTCTGTGGTTATCTGCACATTTCAACAGAAACAGTTTTGTATTTTCTATTATGTCAAAGTACTACAAATGACTAGTCCAAAACCAAATTGCCATGAGGTCCATTAAAAACCCTTATGGGGGACGACAATTCCCAATTTATAATTATTTTCCTCTTTGACAATTCACTCAGTTTTTAGTTAGTTTAATATGGTTTACAAATATTTCTAAGTAAAATTTTAAAATTAGAATAACTACTATTTCACGGATCTTCAATCCTATAAGCCAGATAATACAGTAATAATATTTTAATCAGTTTATAATTTTCCTAGTTAAAAAAAATAAAAATCCAGAATTTATCTTAGACAGAAGTCTAGCTCTTTTGCAGTCTTCTTGGCAGTTGGTCATGACATACACATCTAGCTACACAAACTGTGGTTTCTTCTGCTTCTTCTGGATGGGGTGGTACAAAAAGCAGATCATAAAACTATAAGTTTCTTATTTCAATACATTTGATTCACTATACCCATCAAGATCCTTTTTTTTTTTTTTTTACTTAGATTTGAACTTGCTCTATCAAATGATTTATTTTGCTTAATGAGTGAATTGCAGCAGAAAATATTTCTCGATCGCTATCCATTAGGTCATCTCATTAAATCTGCTTTGTCTGATGTGAACTGTTTTCATTAAGCTATGTTAACTAGAATTAATTATGCAACTACACTCTATTTCTCTATTGATAAATCTTATCTCAATATATACATCATCACTTTGGTTCCCAGAATGATAGGCAACAAAGAAAAGAACAAAGGAAATTATTTGTTACTTCTACAACGGTACTCTGAAATATGAGAAATGAGAATTGAGATATAAAAATATGAAATATGAGAATATGAAATACAAGGAGAAGCTCCATTTCCTAAGCAGTAACTACTCCCATGTTTATCTGACACAACAGCATCAGCAATAAATCCTTCCTGTAAATAAGCATTATTATCTAACATCAACTAGATAACATACATTAGTCAGAGGGATTTCTTAATAGAGAGAAACAATTTTAGAAACATATAATAAATTACTAAATATAATAAATGTAAACAGAGTAACTATTAATATTACATTTACTTATTATTAATACTAATTAGTGATCAAGGACTTGTGCCAATAACTTACAGTAATACTGAAAAAATAAAATTATACTGTTTCAATTCTAAGTATTTGCTACTCTGAAACTCAACTAGAGATGAATTTAAAAGAAATATATATATCTAAACTAGATTTCAAAATTCAACACCTTGATTTTTTCAAAATTATTTTGTTGTGGGATTGTTGTTTTTATTTGAGATGGACTGCCTAGTGCCACTTATACAAATGTGTTGAATGTTTCAGCACTTCCAAATCTGCTTTTGTAAAAAAAAATAAATCTAACAGCCAGATTTCTCTCAGCTGGAATTCTCAAATTACTCGTCAGTATTTGATTTTCTGATAATACTGAAAATACATATTTTCTATGGGGAAAAAGGATCAAGGAAGTTACAACTAAGAGAAGCAAAAGAAAAATGGCTTGACAGAATCCATAGTTTTTTGTGTCTTCAAAGAGAAGTTAACCTATAATTGATGTACAACTGCTTATCTGCTAAATAAAGATGCCACACCACAGACTGAATGTCAAGGAAAAGGGCAATGATTTTCAACTCTGGTTCAGTATAATGTATATTTTCAACAAAAATTCCAGTAATTTGTACCTGGCTCTTTAGTATTCTTCATGCTTTCCTCCGTTTGTCTGCTCAGTCTTATTTTTCAGTCCCAAAGGACTGTCATACTAGTTTTCTAACAGGTACTACATCATACCATTCACTTCTGTAAGAATCAATGTTTAAACAAAAAAAAATCCAACCTTTGCTATGCCAGGTCATTTAGCTCCATCTTATAGCCTAACTTATTGTCTACTAAGAAAGTATCACATCTTATACTAGTCATGGAAGTGTATTTTTGAGGATTACTTTATGAAAACATATACTGTTATACACCTATTTTGCTTGTGTCTAACAATAGATGTTATCACACTTAATAACTAAACAAAAATTTAGTACCCAATTTTTGTTTGCTTTCCTAAGACTTTGGTTTTGAATATTTTTGTGTTTGATTAGCATTCACTTTGATGTCTGCATACGTCATACGCATTTATATTGGGTGTGGCTGAAGTGCAGTTAGCTTTCCCCACAGCAGCCCTTGTGTTGCTCTGCTTCGTATTGGTAGCTAGAATGGTGTTGATAACACAACAGTGTTTTGGCTACTGCTGAGCAGATCTCCCACAGCATCAATATTGTCTCTCCAACATTCCCCCCTCACCTGTAGGCTGGAGGTGGGCAAGATCTTGGGAGGGGACAACAGCTGACCCCAACTGACCAAAGCGACATTCCATACCGCATGGTGTTTGCTCAGCAATAAAAGCTAAGGGTGAGGGGTGCAGAGGCACTCGTTACTATGACATTTGTCTTCCAGGGCAACTGCTGCACGTACTGAAGCCCTACTTCCCAGGAAGTAGCTGGACATCACCTGCTGATGTGAATAAATCTTTTGTTTTCCTCTGCTTCTGCATGCGGCCTTTGCTTTTGCTTTATTAAATTGCCTTTGTCTTGACCCACAAGTTTTTTTCCATCTTATTTTCTCCCCCCCCTCCCCAAGCTGCTGAGGAGGGGAGTGATAAAGTGGCTTGGTGGGCACCTGGTGTCCAGTCAAGGTCAACCCACCACAACTTTGTCCTCACTGACTAATTACATCACTTTTGTATTCTTATTGTTCTACTGTAATTTTTTCTGTTGTTTGATATACGTGGACCTAATACAAGTAGCTGAAAAAAGCTAAAAGCAATGTTTCTGTTAATTGGGAGACACAAACATCTTTAAATCAGTATGTCTTTTCATGAACCCTTTTATTTCAGTGCAGCAGAACTGGGCTCAGTATTTCTGTTTGTTTCATCCTCTGTCAACAGTTAGGAGAGGCAAATTCTCAGAGAGAATTCCTCACCATCCATTTTATTCTTCGGTGAGTATATTATCACAGAATCACAGAATGGTCAGGGTTGGAAGGCATCTCTGCAGATCATCTAGTCCAACCCCTATATACTATATATAGCATACTCGACAAAGCAATAATTATATTCTTGTAAGCATGGAAGTTTCAGTACTCTATTAGCATAAATCTCTGATATGCAATATTTTGCTTATTACCTCAGATTTTGTGTTAAAGTACACTTATATCCTATTGTTCTAGTATATATATATATTTATAGGTAGCATTAAAAATATTCTTAAAACAAATTTTAAAAGAATTTTCATCAGAATTTAGTAGATACAACATATTTATTTCAGTAATACAGTATTCATTGATTTCTGAAATTATCATTTACATGTGATACATTTATTTCACTAATATTATCATGGTCTTAAATAAAATTCATGTTACAGATCTGTTATAGATCTGATGACATATCTGTGGAAGTGCAAATATTTGAATGCGCAACAGGTCAACCTAAACAGCTGTTCCTGGTAATTAAGATCAGGGACTAAGGGAAAGGTTAAGATGCAGCAACTGGGGGACTGTGATGCAGTCAACAGTGGCATGAATTTAGTTCTTAGTGACACCTGAAATGTCCACAACAGTATCTTATTTAGAATGTGCCCACAGATCTAGGTGTAAAAATGGGGGCTTGCCACTTTAAACAAATGACTGGAAGTTTCTTTTCTTTGTTCCCATAAGTAAATAGGAGAAACAATCCTTGGTCACCTATATATAACAGTTTTCAGATCAGGTAAGACTCAAGGAACATGAACAAACACAAGGAGCCAGGTGAAAAGCATTGGGGAGAAAATATCACCACCTCTTTAGCTTTTGTGACTACAAGAAAGGCCATGATATTTGGACTGAATGAGTAATTACATACAAGGACTATTCAGAGAAACTGTCAGGACCTTGAATGCATCAACAGGCTCTAATTGGCCTGATCAGCTTATAATCATCTTTCTCTTCAGTCTTCCTTGGTGACCTTTTTCTCCTCTCTCACAGGTTTAACTGCCTGTGTTCAAGGTCATCTCTGATGCAGCCCAGTACTGTCACGTTGGATCATCCTACTGTGAAAATAGAACTTTCCTCTGAGATGTCTGCACTTTTATTCATTTACTCATGAGCTGCATTTAAGCTCAGGCCTTTGGACTGGATCCTTTCTGGAGCTATTTTGTCAGTATGCTTGTATCCAGCTTTCTATCTTGCTGATTCTGATCTGTTGACTTGACTACCCAGCTTGACCCCAAACCTGCTTCATCAGGTTCACCTGCCTGGTGACCACTGAACTTTTTGGTTGAATCTGTGGATCTGCTGTGTTCTTGTGGGTATTGAGGGATTGTGCCCTTTGATGATGAGGACACTGTCCCTGCTGGCCTTGCCGTCATCCTTGGTTCTAATCTTCCTTCCCTTACAGAGTAGACTACCCTTTCTACTCCCTGAAGCAAGGAGTAACAAAATACATTTTGTCTGAACACCCAAACCGGTAACTGGACTAGGACCAGATAAATGGCTGTAGGTAGCCCTGCTTGTGCAGGGTGGTGGACAAGATGACCTCCAGAGGTCCTTTCCAACCTCAACCACTCTGTGATTCTGTGATCATCTCCTGTCATTTGCAGAACAATTGGTTGCTTAGAGCAATCTTTTAGTTGTCCCCAGTTACTACTGTTGGATAAATTACTATTTCCTCTCTTTTGAGAAGCTATGGCCAGAAGAATGTTGGTGCATGATGGATCTTGCTCGTCATTTTCAGGAGCTGTTCTGAGAGTTAAAACAAGCAGAATTACATTTTTCCATACCGTCAGTTGGAATCAACCTCACTGCACTGCATTTTCATTATCAAATGTCTAAGTTTGTATTAAATTTAAATGTGCTTATGTTTAAATTACTAACTTGATTCTGGTTAAAACAATGGCAACAGATGCACTTCATTCAAGCAATGTATTTTTAAAGGCTGCAACATAGCTGTGATTATCATCTGTGTGGATAATAACACTGGACCACAACTAGTTATATATTCTTTTTACTATATAAATGCTCTTCAGTTCTCTTATTTGATATAAGAAAAAAAACACGGTCACAGTAGAAAAGTGATAAAAACATCCATATTACCCAAGTGAATCGTCCTTGTGTTATTGATTTAAATAAATAACAAACACATAAATGTACGTCCCTCTTGTCTCTTAGAGTAATGAATGCATTTCAAGTTCTGCTTGTCTGAATCTTTTATACTTTGGAGCACTGAATTAGTTTAATATGTATTAAATTACTTACAGTGAATCCTCCAATTATATTAAGACACAATCCTTCATTCAGACAGTTGATGCTGAGCAGCCTGCAGTAGTCAATTACTTCCTCACAGTTCTTTCCAGTGAATCCTGGCATGCAGCTGTAAATACACCAGTGTATTTTAGAGGACTTGCATTTTTAAAGTTAATTGTATTTAATTATGTTCCATAATTCTATTAAATAATGTTCTTGTGGTAACAAAACAGACCTCATATGTTATTTAAAATAAACAGAACATGTTTTCAAGGAATTAAAAATCAGTTGCATGACTGGATATTTTTGCTTCTCCATAAAATAATTTTTTTCAACGATTAAAGCATTTTCATACCAATACTTAATATAATCCTCCGGAAACAAAAAACAATCTTGAATGAGGTAATATTTAATAAAAAGCTATAAATGAGCTTTTGGGAATCTATTAGAAAGGATGGGTCAATTAAACCATCAGAGAGGAAAATTAGAAATACAATGATAAATGAGGTTTAAAATAATTAACATCAATCATCACTAGTGATTAACAAAGAGTAGTCAATAATCACATGCTTAGGTATGTAAGAAACAATTTAAGGAACCTGTAAACAGGACAATGCATGGTTGTTTTTGTGTTTGCTTAATTGTAATTAGGTATTTTCTTTAAAGAACAAAACTAGAATTCTATTTTGTGACAGTTTGTTAGTTCCATGTGATGCCCATGGAGCTGTGGATAACTCTTCTATAGTAAAAGGAACTGCAGACATTTCTTCTGCTTCATGTCAGCACTTGTTGTTAGTAGGAGAAAATCCTTTTCTTATCTAGCTCTCCCGTGTTTAAAAAAATCCCCTATACACCCAAAATATGAGATTCAAATAGATATTATACAAGTCTTATTCAAAAGCAATAAAGGACCAGTGTAGAAAAATATTTGAATATTTATATCTGGCTCAAAATGTGAAAAAGTAAAACCCAGGCTGCAAAAAGTTGTTTTCATGTTTTGATATATGCATAATCCCTGTCAAATTCACTTGATATGTTTTAACAGACATGCTTAGCATGTTGCTCTCTCAAAGGCTTTTTCTGGTAGCACGGAAAAAAAAAAGATTTAAGAAGAGAATGGAAACGGCCAATTAGCTGAAAATTTGTGCTTGTGAAGGAACCCAAAAGCAATAGATGGGAATTTTCTTCAGCTTTTTCTGAGAGGTACTTTGTCTAATGACTCAGCCCAGAAGCTGGAAATCATGAAGATGATACAGAATTGCTTTTGTTATTTCTGTGCTGTTGTTCCTAATGGATATGAAATTCAGTCGTGTTGCTTACGTTTCCCCATTTTAAAAAAAATAATGCCACCCCTGGTTTCAAAATGCATGAAGCCTCCCACAGGTATGTAGCATAGGAAAGTAAAGGATATATTTTCAATAGCAAACGGTCAGGCAACAACATTCAACAGAAAGTGTCTGGCTTAACTGTATTTTCTAAAGCAGTTAAAGATTCCTAATCAGGGGGTATGGCTACACCTCTGAGGGATGCACAGAGGCATCTAGCATGTCCAGAAACTTTAGTCACGTCTTAGGTAAAGTGTTAAACAGGCTGGATTTCACCAGAAACCCCTGCAGATCATCCACGCAGTCCATGAGTAGGACCATTTGGACAGAGGTAGGTGGATACAGGAAAAACTCCACTAAATAGTTATATTCTTTGAGGCTAGTATAGACACAACCACAGGAGGACACTCTATGCGAGTAGCAATGGACTACATAATCCTCACCCTCTTCTTGAAAAAATTGCTGTGTGTAAATCCAATAATTATATTCCTACCATTTCAAGTACTTGGAATTAAAATTGTTGCAAAGCCTATTCTTAACAAATTTCCAGTTCACTTATTGTAACTAAAAGGAGTTTTTCATAATACTTAGTTGCTTTTATTTTAGCATGTTCAAAGATATCAGATGGTTACATACTTGTTTTTCCCTCTGTGCTATCAACAGATAGCATATTTGTTGTTCTTTATATTATAACACCATTCATCCATATATTAGGACTGTAAAGTAAAAAAAAGAAAATATATTTTTTATAATTCCATATTTAAATAACACTTTAATCCAACTCAGAGAAACTCAGTTAGAACATCTGTTTTACTGATTTGGTTTTACCCATTATGCAAAATCAGGTGAAAGAACTCCTAGCTTTCTTGGTTCAATGTATTTAGTTAATCTATGACTGTTTCATAAAATAGATAATTTAGTAAGCCAATTTTAGAAAGTGCTTCTTATAATTTTTGTATTTGCTCATTTTTTCTGGTTTTGTTTTTGTTGTTGTTTTGCGATAGACATAATGTCAGAGAAGGTAAGAGTAAATTAACAGCAAGAAAATTGACAGTAAAGTTCCAAAAATGACACTAACAGAACAAATTTTCTTAGAACATCATTTCACATTTTTTGTCACTTTTTATCGTCCTAAAGAACAAGGATAATAGAAGAAGATACAAAGTAAACAATCACAATTTATTGTGATGGATATCCTTGTTCACTGCCTATTTGAATTCACCTTAAGTTTTGACATTTAAGAAAAAAATGCTACTATTAGATTCTTAGCACAAAGTTGTATATGATATCAAGACTGAAAGGATGGAATTAGGATACAAGATAGTCATACATCATAACTGAAGTGAAGAAAATTATATTGAGTCTGTTTGGTTATATGTTTAGAATGAAAAACAACTGCTTTCCTTAAGAAGAAAGCGTAAGTAGATAGAAGCTGAGATGGTGATGGATATAAACAGAATGTAGCTTGGACATAAGGATAAGTGGAAAAAATAGGGGCAACCAAACCAAAACAAAAAGGATTAAAAGGTCAATTCAGCTTTTATTTGAATTTGTATATGCATGTGAGCTAAATGCCATACATTTATTTAAAATGTTAAAATGCTGTAAAAGTGGATCAGGAGGTAGTATTAAACCAAATGAAACGTGTTTTTTGTTGTTTTTTTTTTTTTTTTTTTGTTCTATCTAGACATCGTCATAACCTACACTATTTGACAATTATTATTAAAAATCAAACAAAACCTCCACTTAAAGCTTTGGATGAGCGGCTCCAAACTTCCTGAATAAAGCAACATTTTTAGTGGTAGGTTTCCTTTAGGTAAAATGAATTAAAATATCACTCACAGACAGAAAGCTTCCAAGTCTGTGACCTAAGAAAACCGAAACTGTTAAACCACTGTTCCTATAGACCTTCCAACATCCTCTGTTATTCAAGTAGTTAATACAAGACATAAATTTACAAAGATAATTTTGAATTCTAAAACCAGTAAAACCTGCTGACCGTTGGCCCGCTCTAAAACTTGGCACCTCCTCCACATTTCAAGGCACTGATTTCAGCAACACTGCAGCTCTCGCAACGAGGTTACTGAATCTGGTCTCCTTGTAAAAAGTACGTGATTCATACCCTCTCAAAATGCTTTTTCTCACCTAAATGTCTCCTTCCAACTACACAGGTATAAGTATACACAAAATTTACATTTATTAAGTATTTGGGATTAAGTGGTAGAAAACTGGTTTTATTTTCACAAAACATGAGGAATTACTTTTCAATTTATTAACAATAAACACTAAAAAATATTGCAATCACCAAGTGGAGCCTTCAGGGACTGAATGGCAAAACTAAAGTTGAGTATTGACATTCCAATGCTGCTGTATTTATGTAATGTTAAAAGTATGTAGTATTAGTATCTGGTTTAGGACAGCAGTTCAGGCTTTCTCTGTACCTATGTACAGAGAAAACAGAACCTCCAGAAGGTGCTTCATCTGGTGTGCAGCTTAGATGCTAGGGAAAGCCACGTGAATTGAATACTATCCAACTTTTTTACTTAAACAGAATGTACAGGGCCAAGCACTAGATGTTGAACAAAGTTGAAGGATGAGCTCTTCATTACTGTATTCATAATGTTCTCTCCAGGACATTATTTCCCCTTTTTAGAGTGTTCTTAGCAGTAAAAATAATAAACTTATGACCTATCCCATTTCTCAAAGTAGGTCTCCGCAAGTGTGTCTTGCCTGTCTTGTCAAATATGTATTTTACAGATAGCACAACTGAATGCACGAACAATACACAAATATTAAAGGTATAATCTAAGCATCACTGTTATTGATATAATCTTAATGCTTGATATTAGCAGTAAACAGAATTGTACCATCTGAGCCCACAACTAAAATCTCTAGTCCCTAGCTTTACCACGACTTGTGATTCTCTTGATAATCAATATAAATTGGTTGTTTATTGGCCATTATTACTTTCTGTTATTTTGATCTAAATAATGACTTCCACTCTTATTCTCACATAGTATGTCAATGAAAAGACTCTTAAAGCACTATGCATTTCCATAGCTCCTTTTATTACCTAATTTCCATGGTACAATGGGGTTCATGGTACATACCATTTCTACCAGTGCTTTGTGAAATTGTAAATTATTCAATCTGCATTGCACACAGGGCCAGGATTATTATTTGGTTTTGTTTTTTTTTTTTTGTTTTGTTTGGGTTTTTTTTGGTTTTATTTTTTTTTTTTTTTTAAGAAAGGCAATCTACATCTTGATATTAATTGTTAATGTTATTCATATTTTTAAATGTAAGCCTCAGGCATAATTTCATACTAACTCATGTACCAACATACTGTGTAAAACATTCGTTATATAACAGTAAATTATTAGTAGCTTATATCTTGGTTTAAAGTATTGGAAAAGAAATTATAACACTGTTGTTCTGTGCTATACATATTTATATGGGAAGATCTAACTATGTATGTGTTTGTATGTGTGTGTGTATGTATATATGTGTTTAGGTGTAAGTATAAATCAAGTTGTATGTCTTTTTTTCTTCTTTTGAAAAACTGTAAACATAGTCCTACTTATATTTTAGTTTCTAGACTTTGCAACTGTATCTTTTCTGGTAGATTAACTTTATGTTCTATAGTTCTGTTACGTATTTGCAGTTTCTAAGTTCATTCATAATGTGTTTTCAGGCTTTTGTGTACCACAGCTTTCAATTTTCTGCTTTTATGAATATCCTAAAATTTGAAAGTTGTTTACAGCACTTCAGTAATGCTTAGCAGAACTTTTACTTCAGGCAGCCAGATAAAAGCCCAGCAAATGTGAAGAGTACAAATTGTACTCCTTAGTGATGTAACAAAATATCTAAAAAGCTATCTAAAATGGAACAAAATTATATACCTACTGGGTCACTTCTGTTATTTTCAAATGGATAATTCTGAGCATGTTCTTTCTGAATGAAGCACTTTTAATAAGCTGCTTGAAGGATCGATCTAAGACCTACTAATGCATGTCTGTGAATCAAAACTAACACAGTTGTCTTACCCTTTCAGAAACATAGCATAGACGTCATACACACTGAATGGGAGTGGTACCTGTAGTTTAATTCTCTTACGTGTCGTCAGTGTGTCAGGATTTATATATTTTGTCATACGGAATTAATGATGAAACAATTTATAACTCCTTAACTGTGTTAAATCTTTTTGTACCACTTCAAGAGTTTTCCAGAAAACTAGCACAAAAGGGCACCAAAAAGAAATAAAAAATGTTAAAAGGAAAGTTTATCATTTTCTGTGTTCTCTGTGACTGATAATGTCTTTTCTTTCTACAATCAGGGGGATATCATCAACTAATCCAATGAAGTACTGAAATAAATTAATTTCTAGTCTTACCGGCAGTTATAGTTCTGCTGTTGAGCTACACAAGTTGCATTATTTAAGCAAGGCAATAATTCACATGGATTCAGTATTCTCTCACAGAACTTGCCAGTGAATATTGGCAGGCAGATACATGCCACATCCTATAGAAGAGAAGGAAATTAGAAATAATTATTTCTTGTACCCAAGGCAATACAGAAATTAATATTTACTTCCATTACTATAGAGACCCTAAATAGGACAGGGTCTCATCATATTAAACAGTTTACAAAGACAGAGCAGAAAGCAGTGCTAGCCCCAAATAGGTTACAAACGTAATTTAGGACAAGTGGAATAGGCCTTCCAGCACAGATTATACCAGAGTTAGGTTTGCTAGCTGGAAATATACCAGCTCTAAATTTGACTGGCTTTGCGGTTTCATAACTGCATCAAGAAGGAGTTTTATAATTCTTTTTTTTTCCTCATTTCTGAATTTGTTCAAATATAATATTTGCAACTATCAAACAGTAACAGTGCACAAGGTGCCTCAGATACCAGTATTATTCAGTAACCAGAGTAGGAAAGAAAATGATTTGTATCTTTTTTCCCCTTCAATATGAAGCATAGAGACTATACTTCTCTATAATGGTGAAAGACATCTGTCAGTTACTGTAATCTGTAATTTACACAGCAAGAACAGTAAGTTATTTTGTAAAACAAAATATTTGTTAGAGATGACACTCTCACCCTTATTTTTCTATATAATGTCGTTTGTAGTCTTTTTGATGTCAGAAAGTAAAGGAAAAATATATAGAGGTTAATTGCTCCAGTGAAATTGAAAGTCTTCAGGTGTTTCTTCAAAATCCATCTTAAAGGCATGATTGGGGAACTTTATTTTAACATCTGTTGAGAGATTTCTATGTGTGTGAAACAAACTACTGCATCTGTTTGTCTATAGAAATGATTGTACAAAATAGTATGTATTAGCTTATCTACTAGACAAAATATTTAGACAGATTAAATAATTTAGAAATCTATCAATTTTTTGGCAGTTTAAATATCTCTTTTTTCTGTCTGAGTGTATATGTATCACTTGTATATGATAGCTGAGCTTTTGAACTCTTTCACAATTTTGTTCTGCATAATCACTGCTATTTGCAATAGTCACGCTAATGAAAGAACATCAACAATGCGGTTTGCAATACTACTAGATATGACTCTATTATCATGAACCTTTGACTTTGTGAGTTTCCAAGAATCTATTCTATTTGACAAAAAGAAAAAAGAAAGAAAAGAAAAAAGAAAAACATCCGTATGTTGATGCATATGGATGACAGGGAGGCGATTAGAAACAGTCAGTATGGCTTCACAAACAGAAAATCTTGCCTGACTAATCTGGTGGTTTTCTGTGGTGGGGTGACTGTGTTGATGGATAAGAGAAGAGCAACTGATGCTATCTTATCTACCTTGACTTCTGTAAGGTCTTTGACATTGTCCCTCACAACAACCAGTATCAGTACAGACTGGATGATAAATGGATTAAGAGCAGCCCTGTGGAGAAGGACTTATTGGTATTGGTGGATGAAAAACTGAACATGAGCTATCAACGTATTCCCAAAAAGCCAATTGTATCCTGGGCTGCACCAAAAAAAGTATGGCCAGCAGGTCAAGGGAGGTGATTCTCCCACTATTCTACTCTGCTTTCATGAGACCCTACCTGGAGTACCGTGTCCAGCTCTGGGAACCCAGCACAAGAAAGACATGGACCTGTCAGAGTTCAGAGGAGTGCCATGAAAATGGCCATAAAGGCTGAGAGAACTGACGTTGTTCAGCCTGGAGAAGAGAAAGCTCTGAGTTGAAGATGTCCCTGCTCATTGCAGAGGAGGTTGGACTAGATGACCATTAAAGGTCCCTTCTAACCCAAGCCATTCTTACAGAGATGAGCCAGGGGCTCCTGAGGTAATAGGAGCCAACAGAAAAACATCAGTGACATACCTCAAGGGAAATAAGGGGTGTTCATCTAAGGAGACACATTTGACAGCCCAGCTGAAGTGCCTCTACACTAATGCACACTGAATGGGCAACAAACAGGGGGAGCTGGAAGGCACCTTGCTGCTAGAAAGCTGTGACCTAATTGCCATTAGTGAAACCTGGTGGGACAACTTCCATGACTGGAGTGCGGCTACCGATGGCTACAGGCTGTTCAGAAGGGACAGGCAAGAAATTAAGAAATGGACAGTGTGTGAAGAGCTGTCTCTGAAGAATAACCACTAAAAGGTTGAAAGCTTATAGGTAAGAATTAGACATGGGGGCAACAAAGGAAACCTTGTGGTTGGTGTCTACTACAGGCTGCCCAATCAAGGGAAGCCTATTCACAAAGCCTTCTTACTCCAGCTACAGGAAGCATTGTGCTCATAGGGTCTCATCCCATTGGTGGCCTCCAACCACTCCGATATCTGCTGGAAAAGTACCACAGCAAGCTGCAGACAATCCAAGAGATTCCTGGAGTGCATTGAGGATAATTTCTTAAGCCAGGTAACACACAGCCTCACCAGAGGGGGTGCAATACCGAACCTGTTGGAAGCAGCCTGGGCTGCAGTGATCATGCACTGGTGGAGTTTGAAGTCCTGGGGGATATGGGTCAGGTGAAGACTAAAGTCAGGACCCTGAATTTCAGGAAAGCAAAATTCCAGGTTGTCAAGGAGTTAGTCTATAGGACCCCGGGAAACTGCCTTCAGGGGCAAGGAAGCAGAACAGAGCTGGCAGATCTTTAAGGACACTTTTCTTAGAGCGCAAGAGTTCTCGATGCCCAGGCATTAAGAAATCAGGAAAGGAAGGCAAGAGACCAGAATGGCTGAGTTGAGACCCTCTGTTCAAACTGAAAGGCAATAAAGCAATGCACAATATTTGAGATAGCCAGCATGGCTTCACGTAGGAGACTGCTAAGATGTCTTGATTGAAATGTCTCAAAACTTGCTTACCATAAGTGCACCAGCCACATCCTGTTCATAACAGGAGCAAGGAGCACCTGAAACTCGCTGAGTTAAGTTGCAAGCTGTGGCACCGCGACAAACTACAGCATCTTGTTTACCACAAGAGTACACCAGGAGAGACCGTTTTCCAATAAGGCCATCTTCCAAGAAAGACTGGCCGAGCAAATGTAGCTTCTATACTGATTGGTCAAATGCCAAGCTGACTATAGGTTCGTGTCGTGTCCCTCTGTAGTCGGACCACCAGGACTCCCACCATCATTTTGGTCCAAGGATTGTGAGTCAACGGGATGCCACTGATGATAAAGCGGCCTTCAGGATGCTGAGGATCAGTGATGGTGGCTATCCTCTTGCTATGCTCCATAACACTGCTTCTCTCTTCCCCCTTTCCTCTACTTCCTTCTTTATCACTCATTTCAGTAATCAAGGCTGGGAGATAACAATAAAGCTTAGCAGACAACATCTGACCTCGTTTGTGTCTTAATCTCATGTGCAGAATTGTTAGGGGTCCTCCCAGACTGCCCCCCATCCCAAACCACCATGTCCTGGACTGGGACATGACACTTAGGGCAAGTCCTGCCTGACTAACCTAGTGGCTTTCTACAATGGAGTGACTACATCAGTGGACAAGGAAAGAGCTACAGATGTCATCTATCTGGAGTTCTGTAAGGCCTTTGACAAGGTCGCCCACAACATCATTCTCTCTAAATTGGAGAGCATATGGATTTGATGGGTAGACTGTTTGGTGGATGAGGAATGGGTTCTATGGTCGCATGCAGAGGGTAGTGTTCAACAGCTCAATGTTCAGATGGAGATCAGTGACAAATGGTGTCCCTCAGGGATCCGTATTGGGACCAGTACTGTTCTTCATCAATGGCATAGACAGTGGGATCAAGTGCACCCTCAGCAAGTTTGTGGATGATACCGAGCTGAGTGGTGCAGTTAACGCACCTGAAAGTGGGGATGCCATCATGAAGGACCTGGACAAGCTCAAGACCGAGGCCCATGTGAACCTCATGAGGTTCAACAAGGCCAAGTGCAGGGTCCCGCACCTTGGTCAGGGCAACCCCCAGTATCAAAACAGGCTGGGGGATGAAGAGAATGAGAGTAGCCCTGAGGAGAAGTACTGGGTACTTAGAGGTACTTGTGGATGAAAAGGTGGACATGAGATGACAATGTGTGCGTGCAGCCCAGAAGGTGAACTGTATCCTGGGCTGCATCAAAAGAAGGCCAGCCGTTCGATGGAGGTGATTCTGCACCTCTGCTCCACTCTGATGAGACCCCACCTGGAAAAATGCGTCCAGCTCTGGAGCCCTCAGCACAGGAAAGACGTGGACCTGTTGGAGCAGGTCCAGAGGAGGACCACAAAAATGATCAGAGGGCTGGAACATCTCTCCTACGAAGACAGGCTAAGAGAGTTGGGGTGGTTCAGCTTGGAGAAGAGAAGGCTCTGGGCAGAGCAGCCTTTCAATATTTAAAAGGGACTTATAAGAAAGATGGGAACAAACTTTTTAGCAGGGCCTGTTGCAATAGAACAAGGGGTAATGGTTTTAAACTAAAGGACGGTAGATTGTCTCGACATAAGGAAGAAATTTTTTACAATGAGGTGGTGAAACATTGGAACAGGTTGCCCAGAGAGGTGGTAGATGCCCTGTTTGTGGAAATACTCAAGATCAGGTTGAATGGGGTTCTGAGCAACCTGATCTAGTTGATGATGTCCCTGCTCATCGTAGGGGGGTTGGACTAGATGACCTTTAAAGGTCCCTTCCAACCCAAACTATTCTATGATTCTGTGATTCTATGTCCAAATGGGGATCTCTGAAGTTTATACTTACATTTGGCAAATCGATACATGTACCTCTGTTTTGACATGGCCTTGAAGAACATTCATTGATATCAATTTCACAGTTGTGACCAAGGAAACCAGCAGGACAATCACAAACATATCCAGACTGATTATTTTGGCATGTGCCCCCATTCAGGCATGGCTGAGATACGCAAGGATCACCAGGTTCCTCACAAAAAGGACCTAAAAGAAAGAAGCATTAAAAATTAGGGAGTGTTTGAGTGAATGATGCCTCTTTATATACTGCCCATAAACAGTATCTTGTCATTATGTTGTGTTTCCCTATTATTTCTTATTAGTTCTATTGGGTTTTTTTGTTTTTTTGTTTTTTTAATTTTAGGAGGGATTGAGAGGCTCTTATTTATTGTATTTTCTTAAATTGTCTACACTGTGAAGCTCCATTTACTGACTGAGACATCTGTAAACTATCACCATTTAAAAAGCAAAGAACTTAAAATATTCCTGTATGTTTTGTTTGTTTGGGTGAATAAACATGGTAGAAATATGCAGGAGTGAGTAAACTCATCTGTAGCAAAGGGAGGATGAGAACTGGAACCATAGTCCCAGGAGACACTGAAGAGTCACTGAACATCCCTTCCACAGTGGTTATTATTAAAGGAGGTTGTTCCCTTTCCTTTTTGTAGATCCAGCCAGCAGTGAAGCTAAATGTACTTTCAGTAGGTGCACACACAATCACTTTCTCACACACACACACATACACAGAAACAATACAGACACAGTGCCCACATGGATCAACATGGGGAGAATGTCCCTGTACCTCGTAAACACAAACAGCACTCGTGAGCGTGAACAGCAATGATGGCTCAAGCTTTTTCTTCCTTTATGGCTAATCAGTGTTGAAGTTCACCAGCAAACATACATACACTCTCCCTCACTTTCTAAATGCACAAATAAACCCACATTAATGGATTCCTCAAAAATTATCACAGGTTTTAAGACTGTCTGATATCCATACCCAGATCCTAGACCTCTTGCCAGCTTGCTGGCTCAGACCTTGAGTCATTCCACATCTGGATATTATCCTAGTTGCTGGCTAGTCCAGTTTAACCCCTGCCCACTAGGAAGGGTGATAACACGGAAATAATAAAGAAAAGAGACTGCAGTGATCAGAAGCCGGGCTTAGTCAGGTAAGCATAGTGAGTCACAGCCCACTTACACTCAGCCAGCCCTTTTGTCACCTTTTCTCTGCATTTTCCCATATTTGTACTTCACTCATCCACCTTGATGCCTGTCTTTCTTCACCCTTTTCTTCTCCCAGGTAAACAACCCTTACCTAAGTGTTTGTCCCCATTGACCCTATTTTTATGACCTCCATAAACAAATTCAGTATTTCTGATAGTTTACCTAAGTAATCTTGGCTTTATGTGGGATTACTCACATGGCTGCGCAGGCTCTGTTGGCCTTGCAAGAAAATAATCCCTGAGAAGTCCCCAGTTCCCTCCCTTTAATTATCTGTGAAGTTTTCCCATGTCTCAGAAAATTCTTCCTGAACTGTCTGTAGAATCCAGTTGTCGCTCATAGTGCTATCTGTACCTCTTTTCAGCCACTCAATTATTTGCTAAGGTTGGCAACTTCTCATGTTATGCCCAGTAGTTTCCCATGTTCTGTTCAGTTATTGTAACCCCAGGCAGGAGTTTACTGATCTGCCTGCATACCACAATAGTTATGGATTGCCTATGTATTTTGGACAATTAACTCTATTTAATTGCACAACATCAAAGATATAGCAGAATTATAGCAGCTAAGAATTTAATTCCATTTACTTCTGGAAAATTATGTAATAAATATGCTTTCCACATATCCTGTACTTTGGTACTTTGATTTAAACCACCTTCCTAACACATATTTACAGATTATATCAGAAGCATTTTTCAATAATTTGCTGTAGCAATAACATTAACTTCATAATAAATCTATTCTGAAGTAGTAGTATGTATTGATTCCACAATTTGTTAGTCACTTCAATCAACTGAATTAAAAATAGGCATTCATAAACCAATAAATTATACTTTACAAAAAGATGTATACTTTTGAAATGGTAAACAGAATAATTTTAACTTGGAATAGTAAACTCCCAGGTAAACATAGTTAATTGTTTCTAAACGAATTAATACGTAAATATGTGAGCCTCTAATAATTTCCTTACCTACACAGACTAGCTATATAGAGTAACTGTAGGAGTGTGGTACAACATTTACCAGGAGATCCAAATATTGCACTCTATCTCTATTATATACCAGAACAGCTGATGCAACAAACACTATAGAAGACAATCCCATTAGCAGGAAAATGTTCAAAACTTGATTTCCTTTCTATCACTCAGTTCCTTGGAAACAGTTGTTCATAAGGCAAAATGCATTGGATCTATCTTTTAGGACATATTATTAACCTCTCTTCAGCATCAGAGGACATTCAAAGAATCTTTTGTGAATTTATTGCTACCCCTCATCACCATAGTAACCAAGTTACAGTAAAAGTATATTGCAACTTGCAGATGTTAGGGCTTGTTAATCGGAAAAGACAAGAAGGTAATTCCTCAGAAGAAGGACATTGGCTGGTATTAGTGCGTACATAAGAGAATGTTTGCAACATGAAGTGAGGTGGATGGGTCAATTGTTTCTTATTATTCAATTTAGTATTTATCTGTCCTGGTAAACTTCAGCACAATATTGTATCCTGGCAGTACTCACAGATGAGGTTATATATATCAATGCTTATCCTATTATTTTTTTTCCTTTGATGTGACACATTTGACAAGAATGGGTGCTCCTGACCCACCCACATTACCAAACAGGAGAAGGCAAATCAGCAAAAGAGTGACTCCAACTGCTGTACCCAAAAGAATGCCAGAAAATGTAGGTCCACATGCCGAACGGATTAATGAGCTGTTCCTGCCATTGTTCCTACCCCTGAATCCATTCAGTCCTCCTCATTTTTTCTGCCACCGTTACCAAGATATTCTTAGCCTTTTGTTATAAAATGGCACTGGATGGGATTATTAGAACAGACAAAGACCAAATAAACAAAATAACACAGAACAATGAAGGCCAGTTGGGGAAACCAGATGAAAGAAGTGCCTTTTTGGAAATGCCATGCTCATTTGTGGCAAAACTAAGAAAAAAGATATTGTTCAGTTAAAAAAAAAAAAAAAAAAAAAAAAAGAGGTAATGCAACTTTCTTTTAGGGAAGACTAAAAGTAACTAGAAGAGGAATAGAGAAAAGCCTGAGAGCATATAAGGAAATACTGTTAATCACAGCATGGGAGATGTATCAAAGAAAAAATGCATGGTTCAAGGATGGCAAAAAGAGCTGTTTCAGTTCTTTTCTTCCTGGAATCTCCTTGCAAAGGGCAAAAAATATATTTTTCTTGTTGTTAATTTAGAAAAAACAGGGAGTTTAATGTGAATTGGGAGCCAATTACCTAACCAGGTCAAGGGGGATAAATGTAGATAAAGATACTGAGGCAGCAACTGCACTCATGGTCAAAAACACAAGTTACATCTTTCATAAGTCTATCTAGAGTGAATTCAATAAAAAAACTCTACCAACTG